TACCCGCGCGGCCCCTTAACTTTCCACCGTATTCGTCCAAATCTCCCTTCCTCCCCGCTCTTTTCTGGCGTCCGTATGTACGTCTGCTTTCCTTCTGCTCCCTCTTTCCCCACTCTCGCCCTTCGTTCGGGTCATACTAATTTCTTGCATGATGATTCGAATGATTAAAATTCAATATTCAAAGATGTTCCTCCTGTTTTCTAGTTTTTCTTACTCAAAAAGGTTCCTTAGCAATAGATGATCCACGAATGTTTTCATGTACGCGCCAATGGTCCAGGGAACCAATGTAATTTCTGCGGAATTATCTTCCTGTTTCTTTAATGATACTCGTACACTAGAAAACGAACATTTAGATCTAAAACAGCGTTCTGCAAGCGATCACATGCCTGGTAGGAATTTAGGATCTGTATATATATTTTATTCTTGTGTTTTTTTTCCGTACTCCGTAATAGCATACTTTTTATCTTCTGATAAGCAAGTTCTCAATATGCAAATTGCGAGCAGAATTTTTTTTTTTCGCGTTTTTGCTTTCGTCGTATATTCGTGTTTATGTTTCCAAACAGTGACATCGGTATTTCGATTTTTCGTGGAAATATAAGTAAATGAACATTTCGTAAAATATATGATAATATTAAGATTTTATTTTTAGTGATCACACTTAAATTATAAATATACCATCGTCTATATACCTGAATATTTATGCACTGAAATTATTGATGTGCTGTATGTACAATATAATTAAGTAGTCTTATATATTTACTCCTTAAGAAAAGTATTGAATAGATTCTTTTTTTTTTTAACTTATAGATTATGTATATTTTGAAACATCTTCCACATCTCCCTACCAGATAAGAAGGATAGAAGAATTAAATAAGGTAAGAGGCAGAATTGATTGTATTGCTTTATAATTCGTACAAATGATATTTTCTGAACTTTCATTTAAATCACATTTAACAGCATTTTAAATTGTACAATGATAGTAATTTAAATATAGTAATTAAATATATTTAATTTGTTATTTTAGACGGCAAGTGGAAATGTTGAAGCAAAAGTCATGTGCTTCTTTAGGCGGAGGGATTTACCTTCTACATTAATTATGCTTGCAGATAAACATCAATGTAAGTAGAATTTATATTATTTAAAATAAAACTTTTAATTATTCTCTAGTATAATAAACTTGAAAAGATTTGCCTTAGATAATGTAATGTTAATCAAAATTAATTTTCACACCAAAATAATTTTATATGTGCAGCATACACATGCTTTATTACATCAAACATTTTTTTTATATAATGATACTATAATTGAACTGATTACATTTAAGCACACAATTTACAAAAATTAGTAATTTCGTAATATTCTGTTGATATTTAGATAATTGTGGATATTAATTACGAATATATTGAAGATAAGGGAAATAACGTTATTTATTTTATTTCATAAGCAACCGTAAATGGAGAAAAATTCAAACATATTCTTACAACGATCACGAAAAGTTTTTAATTGCTTATGCATATACTTTCTTTTATGAATATAACGGATAGTGATTTCATATCGCACGTGTTCAATACACATAGACGACTAATAGTGTAAGAAATCGTGCGATAAAAACGGAATGCATTACCATGTTCGTATAAAAATATTCTTCTTCGTAGGCTCGAACGATTTGAGGCGATGAAAGCGTGAAGTCGCGAGCCACTGTCATAGCCACGCTCATACGAATAACTATACCAAAAACAAAACAAAAAAAAAACTATCTCCATCAGAAACGCAATTACATTTTGCTGTTCCAATCAAGATTCAAGAATTTCACCTATATCATTATTTCAACCGCAGCAATATTTAGAACATGTTAAAACTTACTTGAGAAACGTACATTACGTTATAATATATATTTTATCACATGAGAGAAAAGTAATATGCTTTCAAGAACGAGAAAAAGCTGGCTCGATTTCACGCGTCTCAATGTATACATACGCGCGCGCACGCACGCACGCACACGCGCGCGCGC